TGCTGTGAGCTAGGCTGACGCCACGGCACTCTAGCCAGGGCAACATAGCCAGACTCTGTCTCAAAAAAAAAAAAAAGAAAAGAAAAGAAAATTAGGCAGTAGCCAAAGGGTATAAAGTGCTTAGTCAACTGTACGGCTACTTTGCCCAGAAAAACATATCGCCAAAGTAGACGCTTACATCTAAAAAAGAAATACACAGAAATTAATCTACATGTACTGCAAATTAATTTAAAAGATGTAATATTTGTGTTCATTCTTCTAAAAGAAAGATTTAAGTGCTTAGGAAAGTTAGTATATTTTACTGCACATTAATTTTAAGCTTATTCTGTTCTTTTTAAGAATGAATTACTTAATTTGGGGACTGGTATATTTGAGCTTTCTGGGATTGGTAACATCAATGTTTCTATTGAACCAAATGTGACAAAATGGACCTAGCACCCAAAAAGCTAATATATATATAAGTATGATTTGTAGTTTTAAATTCAATCAGGCATAGAGAATTGGCCACTAAGTATCAACTGAAGTAAGCCAATGTTGGCCAGGCTATGGCTTAATTTTTGCATGCAGAAGTCATGTGTGTATCTATTGCCTACAATAGTTAAGAAAAAGACACTTCAATTTTTTAGGGCATATTAATTTTTACAAATCTTAGGAGTACATTAAGAACTGCTTCAGTAGAGTTCACTGCTTTACCTTTAAAGTAAAATTTTAACTTAAAATTCATAAAATTAAGTTTCAGTTAAAAAGCAGGCATTGTGTAATGCAATTATATATTAAAATGCATATCTCCTGTTACTAACATACACCATCCAGTGATATATTTCAAGTATCTAATGACAAAAATCATTATAGCTCAAGAAATTATTTATCTTATTTTTAATGGAATCAATTTAATCAACTAGCTAGCCGAGCCAACTAGGAATAAAAATTTCCAACCACTTTTTGAAATCATTAAATATGTTGGTGCTTTAAATTACATCCCCATTTGTATATAAAAGGTTTTAATAGTTTATATTTATCATTAATC